ACAGACACCAGGGAGCTCAGAGACAGAGACGAAGCTGGGCGCTCGGACGCGGGGGTCTAGGACCCGGAATTCGAGGCGCGGGATGGCGTGATCCCTCCACCCCCTTATACTGAGCTCACCTGGGGGTGGGAGTGGGCCTGAGGACAGCCTGGGGAGGGGCCTGGGGCGGGGGGCGGGCGGACTCCCAAGGCGGCGGCGGCTGCTGCTGGGGCGGCTTGGGCTCTGGCTCAGGCTCGGGCTGGGGCTGGGGCTGGGGCTGGGGCTGGGGCTGGGGCTGGGACAAATTCGGGAGCGAGTGCACTTTGCTAGCGGAGGGGAGGCCGGGCCGGGCCGGGCCTGCGGGCGGGCCCCGAGATGACTGAGCCCGCCCGGGCCGGCCTTATCTGCGGGGGGGAGCCCCAGGGGGCGGAGTGTCAGGGGCCCGCCTCCCCCTTGCCCCGCCGGCCCCCCCTCGCGCCTCCCTCGGCATCCGCAGCCCCGGCAGCCCTGTCTTAGTTCCCTGAGCGAACCATCTCGGCTCCCCCCCGCTCTCAGGTCTGGCTTGTATCTCTGTATCTCCAGCTACCTCGTTTGTGCCTCTTCTTTCTCTGTCATCTCTCCGAGGGTCTGCCTCTGTCTGTCCCCCCTTCTCTGTTTCTCTCTCTTTGTCTCTGTTTCTCTCTCTTTGTCTCTGTTTCTGTCTCTGTCACTCTCCCTGACTCTCTCTGCCTCTTTGTAGCTTTATTTCTCTCTTTTAGCTCTTCTCTCTCTCTTTTAGCTCTTTGTCTGTCTTTCCATCTCTCGAAGTCTCTGTTCTTTGTCTCGGTCTCAGTCTCTGCACTTTTGTCTCCGTCTCTTTTTTCTATTTCTCTCTTCCTTCAAGGTCTCAGTCTTTACACTTGTCTCAGTCTCGGTCTCAGTGTCTTTGTCTTTGTCTTCGTCTCAGTCTGCGCTACACTTTCATCTCTGTCACCTCACTTGTCTCTCTTTAATTTTTAAAAAATCAAATATTCTTTTTTGGGGGAATTTAGTAATCAACAAATAAAAACATTTCAATACACAAAGAACCAGAAAGGTCCTTGGATAAGAAACTGCTGCTAAGTGCTGTCTATTTTATAAGAATCACATAAGCAAATATAGAAGACCATATAAAATATATTATTACATCAAGCTAAACTATCCATATAAAATATATATAATTTAACGAGGTAGTAGCAAAGCTGCTCTACCTTCGACATGTTTTTTGTCTTCTCTGACCCTTTAGCTCCGTGTCAATCTCTCTCTTCTCTTTCTGGCTTTATTACTCGAGTTCAGGCCCCTCTGTGAGTGCACCCACCCAGGAGCTTAGTGGGAAGTGAAGATTAGGAGTTCAAATTGGCAGCTCCCCAGAGGCCTCGAATCTTTGACTTGACTGGGCTTGTGAAGGGGTTTTGTGTGTGTGTGTGTGTGTGTGTGTGTGTGTGTGTGTAGGTGGAGCATGAGGGACATCTGCGAGTCAGACTGCTGCCTATAGCATTGTCAGGGTTGGAGAAAAGACCTTGACCCTTTGGGGGCTGGGGAGGGTCTCTCTTGTCAGTTCTCCTCTCCCTAGCCCAGGTGCCGTCCTCAGGCCTCTTTCTTCTCCTCTCTTCTCTTCTACTTTTCTCTCCAATCCCTCTGTCCTCTCCTCTCTCTTCCTGTCTTCCCATCTTGTTTTCTTCCTTGTTTACTTCTTTTTTCTTTTCCTCCCTTTCTTCATTTCTTTTTCTTTCTTTCACTCATCCTCTCCCTTTTTTCCATTTTCTTTCTTTCCATTCTGTTCTCTCTCACCTCTCCTTTCCCATGCTCTTTTCTTCTCTAACTTTATTTTCCTTCTCTCACTATCATTATGTATCTCCACTGTCTCAGAATGGTGTCTGGGACATAGTAGGTGCTTAATAAATGCTTGGTGATGGAGTCTTTCTTATCTCCATCCTTCCTTTCCTCCTCTCCCCTCTCTCCTCTCTTCATCTTTTCCCTCCTCTCCTCTCCTGTGTATGTCCTCTTGTCCCCTTTCCCATCCTCCCTCTCTCAGATTTCTTTTCTCCTTCCCATCACCCCCTTCCTTACTCTTCTATCCTCTTTCCTCATTGTCTTCTCCCTCACTTCTTTTTTCAGTCTATACTCTCCCCTTCCCTTTCCAGAACTTACAGGTGTTACAAAACTTGCCATACAAGGAACTCTAAAGTTCCCATTCTTTTTTCTTTGCTATGTGCCCTTGGGGGAATTGCTTGTCTGCCTTCTGGGTTCAGTGTCTTGATGCTTGGGATGAGGATTCAATGATCCATTCTCCCCCAGACTAGGAATCCAGGACTGTGTGGATTACGGCAAATCCCACCACTTTGGCTTCCCCTCCCTCCTTCTTTCAAAAAAGACAGATACAGCCCCTCATCTAGTTGCAAATGGGTTTATTTAAAAGGAGGGTGATGGGTGGGAGTAGAAGATGAGATGAAGGCCAGGAAAAGACCAGCTCATTTCTTCCTCATTGTCTCTCGTCACCAGTCTGTATACTTGCATATCCTGGTGTAAACTCCAGGGATGCGTGTTTGGTTACAGGGACCTACAGCACCCCCTGACACCAGGCCCTGCAAGACATGGTAACACACCAGTGGTCCTCCTGAGTCTCCCTGTAACAAGAGAGACAGAGACACAGGCCTGAGCCTCAGACCCAAATGTAAGGTCTCCTCCTCCTCTATGCTATCTCTCTCTTAGCTCCTCCTCCATTGCGGTCTCTGTTTCTTTCTCTATTTGTCTTTGTCTCTTTCTGTGTCTTTTTTTTTTGTTTCTCTATCTCTGACTCTGTTTCTCTCTATCTCTGCTTTTCTCTACATATCTCTGTCTCTGTCTATTTCTGTGTCTCTGTCTCTCCTCTCTCATTTTTTATCTCTCTCTCTTTACACATCTCTTTCCATTTTTTTCTGTCTTTGTTCCTCTATCTTTGTCTCTCTGTTTCTCTCTGTCTCTGTTTTTCTCTATGTATCTCTGTCTCTCTGCATATCTCTCTATGTCTCTCTCCTCTCTCACTTTTGATCTCTCTCTCTTGCTACATCTATCTATTTTTCTGTTTTTCATTCTCTCTGCCTCTGTCACTCTCTTTTTCTCTGTTTCTCATAGGTTTCATAAGCTTATAGATTTTGAGATGGGAGAAATCAGTGTCAGTCTAATCCAACAGCCTCATTTACAGAGCAGGAAACCAAGGAAAACAAAGAGAAATGGCTTGTCCAAAGTTATATGGATAATTAGTAGCAAAGGCAGGATTTGAACCCAAGATCTTTGGCTCTCTTTTTCCTCTGTCTCTTTTTCTCTCTTGATCTCTGTCACTGTCACTGTCTCTTCCTCTTTTTATGTCATCATCTAGGTCTCTATTTGTCTCTTTGCATCTCTCTTGGTCTCTGTTGGTCCAGTCACTCAGCTGACAAGCATCCCTCCCAACATCACCTCCTGCACACAGCATGTTCTCTGTAATCCTCCCAGGGAACACAGTCTGGCACATGTTATCTGGAGTGATCCTCAAGGATAGGCACTGGAGTTTGTCTGAGTCTGGGTGAGGAAGAAAAGGGTGGGGCCACATGTTCCAAGTGATACTGATTCCTTTCTCCCTCCCCTCTACCCTTGAACCCCTGGAACTTTCGCCTCCAGCCTTTAGCCCAGATCCCTAAGTTCCCAGACTATGATCCTATGATGATCCTCTGGTCTCAAGCTCCCCAGCCCCTTATTCTGTCCCTGCATCCCCAAAGGCTTCAAGGCTAGATTTCAGGAGCCTCAACCTCTGATCTTTAACACCCTCCAATGCCTATTAATACTATTTACATTTCATCACTCAACTCAAACTGCTTTTTTCGAAGTTACCAATGAGATTCGATAGAGAGAAAGAGATAGAGATATAGGTATATAGATAGGCATGTGTAAATTGAGAATTAATTTATAAATATATAATGTATATAGGGTAACTAGGTTGCACAGTGGATACAGCACTGGCCCTGGAGTCAGGAAAACCTGAGTTAAAATCTGGCCTCAGACACTTACCAGCTGTGTGACCCTGGGCAAGTCATTTAACCCTGTCTGCCTCAGTTTCTTCATATGCAAAATGAGATGAAAAAGGAAATGGCAAACCACTCCAGTATCTCTACCAAGAAAACTCCAAATGTGGTCACAAAGAGTTGGACGTGACTGAAATGACTGAACACCAGCAATAACATCCATAAGCATTTGAAGAGTGGAAAATGCTGTGTAAATGCTAGCTATTGTCATTATTCTGATCATTCATATTAATTGCCAAATCTAGTGGCTTTTTTTCCATCCTCATTTTCTGGGGGGAGGGGAGTGATTTGGAGGCAATCAGGGTAAAGTGACTTGCCCAGGGTCACACAGCTAGTAAGTATCTGAGGCCGGATTTGAATTTGGATCCTTCTGACTCCAGGGCCGATGCTCTATCCACTGCATCACCTAGCTGCCCCTCATCCTGATCCTTCTTGATCTTTGACCTCTGACTCTTGGTCACTTTCTCCCCAGATACTCTCTTCTTTCTAGGTTTTTATGACACTAGCCTCTCCTGGCTCTCCTCCTACCTCTCAGACTCTTCCTTCTCAGTATCCCTTACTGGTTCTTCAACCAGGTTATACCCACAAATAGTGGAGGTCCCCCAAGGGTGAGTTCTGGGCCCACTTCTCTTTCTGCTCTACACTATCTCACTTGGTGATCTCATCAGCGCCCATGGGTTTCATTCCCAGATCTATTTACCACCACCCTCCCCCCCAACCTCTCTTCAGGATGCTAGACCTACATTAAATACAGGACCTATGGTACCTCCCTCTTTGGGACATCTTAAACTGGAGGTCCCATAGACATCTCAAATTTCACATTTCCAAAACAGAACTCATTATCTTTTCCCTCAGATCCTGCCCTCTTCCAAACAGCACGATTACTGTAAAGTCACTCAGACTCAGAAACTTGCTATCATCCTCAGCTCCTTACCTTTCCTCCACTTGTCCAACTTTTGTTATTTTCACCTTCTCAGCATCACTGAATCCTCTTCTCTCCACTCACACAGCTCATAAAGTCCTGGCCTCATCATCTCTCACCTGGGCTATTGCATTAGGCTTCCTGCCTCCTACCTCTCCTCACTCCCATTCATCTTCCACTCAGCTGTCATGAGTTTTTTCCTAAAGCATAGATCTGACCACATCAGCTCCTCCCCCAGTGGCTTCCAATTTCCCCCAGGATCAATATAAAATCTTCAATCTGGCCTTGAAAGTCCTTCGAATTCTGGCCCCCACCTGCCATTCCATTCTTCTGACCTTTCACTCCTTCCATGCCCTCTACTATCCAGTGACACTGGTCTCCTGGAATATGGACAGGGTCCCCTCATTAATTTATAATATAATAATGATTTATAATATAATTAATAATAACCTCTTAATTTTCCTGACTTCCTTCAAGACTCGGTCCACCCCCCACATCTTCTGGGCCTTCACCAATCTCCCCAACTGCTAGGACCTTTCCCTATTAGATTGTGATCCAGCTATTGTTTGTACCTATTTATTTGTGTATTTTCTCCTACATTAGTCCGTGAATTCCCTGAAGGCAAGGCCTGTTTTTGTCTTTCTTTGTACCCTCAGCTCTTAGCATAATGCCTGATGAGTAGTTAGAGCTTAATAAATGCTCCTTGACTGACTGCTCCCTTAGAGCCCTGGCCCCTCGAACCTGTCTCTCATTCCCTAAATCCAGATCCTAAATCATAAAACCATAGGCTTAGACCTGGACTCCTCGGAGACCATCTTCTCCAACCCCCTCTTTTGACATTTGAGGAAAGCTATAGGCCATAGTCGCTTGACCCTTGATATCAAAAGTTTCCGGAGTTCACACTTCTGACCTCCCCATTCCCTAGAAGCTCCCCTCAACCCTCTGACTCCAGACTCTGTGGTGATAGAATCTGTAATGACTGATCCCCAGGCTCCCAGCCCTTAGCATCCATCAAGCCAGAGATTCTGACCCCAGAGATATTCTCATTCCCAGATTTCTGACTGTAGAACCCAGATGCCCCAAGGCCAGACTCTGTCCCCATGCCTAGAGCGCCGAGCCCAGACTCCCCAACTCTTCCTGCCCACCACCCCCTGACCCTCTCACATTTGAGTGAATTGGTTATGCCCCAGCCAGACACTTGACACAGTGTCCCCGGTTTGACACAAGCAGTAGGCAGAGCCAGGGGTTGAACAGCACGAGTGATGTGGGCAGGGAAGGGTAGGTACAGTAGACGCAGGTCATGATTGAGGTTGTCTGGTTGGGCACAAAAGCCAGGGTGGATCACAGAGTGCCCAGTTCACCGGATTTGCTCTGTACCATCCACATTCTGAAGGCTGTGGTCCCCAAGGTGCACCCAGTATTTCCTACAGGCATGACAGAAACGTGAACTCTCAAAGGCAGTATAGACACATTTCACAGATGAGCAAACTGAGATGTCAAAAGGTGAAGAGACTTGCCCAAGGTCACATGGTAAGTTAAGACCAAAATCAAGGTCTTCTGACTCTCATCACAATACCTCTTTGATCCTCTCTCCTAACAGGTCTCTCCTGACTGTCCCAATACTCCTCCTTCTATCTCCTTAGCACAGTCTGGGCCCTTCAAGATACCTGACTTTTAGCCAGAGCTCTTTTTATGTCCTACCCAAGTGGAAGGAGGGGATAGGGTCAAGGAGGACAGAATATCAGCTCTGAGAGTGCCATAGATGGGAGGGACCTTGGAACTGGGAATGTGGGAGCTGGAAGGGACCTTAGACCATAGGATACCTTAGAGCATAGAATGTCAGAACTGGAGGAGGGGGGATCTTAGTATGTCAGGACTCCCTCAAACTCTGGGGAAGGTAGGGGGTAAGGCTTACTTGTGGTTGCAGTGGGCTGTTGTGAGGACCCAGTGGGGAGAAATTAGGACACCCCCACACAGAAGTTGGCTGCCTTCAAACAATCCCACTTGCCATGACTGGGAGTTAGGGATGCAGGTGGTACCATTGAAAATGGCAGCCCCATCAGGGATGTCAATGGTCTGGCTCAATCCTTTTGGAGAAAGAAAGAAAAGAAGGTGGAAACAGGTAGAAACAGAGAGATGAATAGAAGCAAAGACAGAATCAAGGAGTCAGAGAAAGAATCAGAGGCAGACAGATGGAAGGATGGAGAGATTATGATGCAGACAAATAGACAGTGAGAGGGGAAGGAAGACTGATACAAATGGGGACAGAAAAATGAAGATGGATGATTATAAATGAAGAATACCAGAAAGGGAGACAGGGATGGGCTGAGAGAGAACTCCAGGCAGTCAGGAACACAGACTAAGACACAGAGAGAGCCCAGTAGGCTCCCAGTAGGAGAGCCAGTTGCCCTCCATCCCTGAATCACTGCATTCTCTGCTCTCTCCCCAGCCCACTCAGCCTTGGCTTTTAACTCTCGCTACCCCAGGTCAGAAAGGGAAAGCACCAGACACCAAGACAGTGATTGACCCCGGGCAGGTCCAGCAACTAGAGAAGGAGCAGGGCAGGCAGACATTGATGATGGTATCAGGGAAACAACTCTTCCAGCTGGATCAGATAATGTATGGATTTTGAGGACAGGTGATACACTCATCAATGCTCAGAGTCCCCACTCTGGACCTGAATGGACAGGTGGGAATGGAAAGTCTTACCTAGCAGACCCAGGAGCAGAAGGATGCTGGGCTCCATTGGAATCCAGCACCAAGGTCAGAGAAGAAGAAAAGTTAGAATATTCAGGGACATGGTTCTCTCCTTAGCCCTCTACACCCTGGACCTCCAATTTCCTGTTTAGCCCAATGACAGAACTTCCCATCCCCTCTAAAGTTCACCTGGCCTTATTTCCACCTGTCCCTCAGTCTGGCTTTCTTCTCCCTCTCTTGTCCATTTATTCCCTTGACTGCCTCTCCAAATGTACAGCTTTCACTCTGTTAATCTGTTTGTCTGTCTTTTTTCTTTATCTCCCCACCTGTCCCTCTCTTCACCTGTCTCTCTACCTAACTCTCTGTCCACTTATTTTCCCTCTGCCTAACTGTTGCTTTGGCCACTTATATCTCTACCCTTCTCTCCGTACAACTCTCTATGCAACTGTCCCTCTGGTCTCCTGGCCATGAACCCTGCTCAAACCTCCACTTACAATCTTGCCAGTCACCCTCCGTCTCTGAATCACTTCATTCTCTGCTCTCTCCCCAGCCCTCTCAGCTTTGGCTTTTAATTCTTGCTACCCTAGGTCAGTGGCTTTCCGGATTGGGTGACAGTAGGAGTTGGTGAGGGTGCGGTGGCATGGGGGCGGGGTCCCCCCAATCCTACCGCTCCACCTGGATAATGACACTTAATTGTAATTCAGGGCTAAAGAAGGGAGGGTAAGGGGCCCAAGTGCGGTTCAGCATTCCAAACTTCAGCTTTCCCCTTTCCCGACCTAGAGCCTCCCCCTACCTGGATTACCTATGTCCCTGCATCTCTCTCTGTCTCTGTCTGTCTGTCACTCTCTCTCTCTCTCTCTCTCTCTCTCACACACACACACACACACACACACACACACCACCCACTTTTGTTTCTTTTGGATTCTCCCGGGGCACTGAATGGTGAAAGGTAGAACTGGATCCCAGTTTTAATCCTTCTAACTGTGGCCGGACATGGAGCCCAGTCGTTGAAGGCTTGTTCTCACTAAGGGCTTAGGAAGAAGACAAACTGACAAAGAAAATACAGAGTCAAAGGCAGAAGCACACACTTGGCAAAGAGGCAGAAAGCATAGGAAGGAGAGAGAAAAAGAGGAGGAAGGAGAAAGAGAGATTGAAGGAAAGAACAGGAGAGAAGAAAAATACGGAGCCAGGCAAAAACACAGAAATAATGCAAACATGATAGAGAGCCCCGGACAGAGCCCAAAGGAGGCAGTGAGGTAGATTGAGACCAAGTCAGAGAAAGAGAACAGAGATGGAGACCCAAAAGGGACAAGCCACTGCTTTTCCTGAAAGGCCAATATCTCTTAATACATCCCTCAGTCTCTGCATTTTCTCCATCCATCTCTGGATTATAAACTCACAGAAGCATATCAGAGCCAGAAAACCTCTAAGATGGTTTAATTAAAGTTCCTCACTTTACAGGTTGAGAGACTGAGGCCCAGTGAGGGAAGATGACTTGCCCAAGGTCCCTCAGTTGTGTCAGTCAGTGGCAGAGTGGAGATTCAAACTCAGATGGCCTAATTCTTAGGCTGGGTTTTTTTTTTCCCTTTCACCACCTAATGGCACAGTGGGTAGAGTGCCAGGCCTGGAACCAGGAAGACCTCAGTTCAAAAATCCAGCCTCAGATACTTAATAGTTGTGTGACTCTGAGCAAATCACTAAAATTCCATTTGCCTCAGTTTACCCATCTGTAAAATGGGTGTAAACAATAGGGCTGTTAAGAGGATCAAATGAGATAATAATTGTAAAGCACACATAGTAGGTACTATGTAACTGTTAGCAATTATTATTAAATATTATTGTTTAATTTATTATTAAATGTTAGCCTCTGTTAAATGTGATTTAGTATTTAATTTATTATTATCATTAAATGTTAGCTACTATTATTATTAGCTACTTTTCACATGGGAACAGAAGTCCAGGTAAGAATAATTAGGGGTGTATTAGACAGAGGGCTGAGCAGAGAGGCAGAGTATGATGGAGATAAAGACAGGGAAGTGTGCCAGGAGCAAATAGATGAGGAGTGGGCTGGGGAGAGGACGAGAAGGGTCCTCTCTCAATTCTCCCACCCCTTCCTGCTGGTAAGTCAGGAAGGAATTTTGTGTGCCCTATTGAGTGAATGCCTGAGTGAGTTATCAAGGGACATAGAAAGGAATCCTAGTTCAGTTTCTTAGTTGAAGTATGACCTTGGGTGAGTAATCTGCCCTCCCTGGGCTTCAGTTTGCAAAGCATCCCATGTTCTGCTGACCTCCCAAGGTTGCTGTGAGCATCAGATGAGATACTAGATGAGGATGTCCTTTGGAAGCTAGAAAGCATGGGACTAGGAGAACACATGTGTCATCTCTGACTCTTCCTCCCATCCCCCACATGTCATCAGTGTCAAAGCACCATCTCTACATCCATCCCTTCCTCTCTGTTCCCATTGGCACAGCTGCTGGTCCTTATCATCTCTCATCAGAACTAGGGAAATAGCCTTCTAACCAGTCTCTCCCTTGCTAAACAACCTTTCTACCACCTGCTTAAACAATTTCCTGTGGCTCCCGACCGCCTATGGATAAAAGACAAATCCCAGAGCCCAGCATTCCATACCTACCGCAATCCATGCCCAACCTACTTGACTAGCCCGATCTTATTTATTGAGCCCACTTCAGCTAGTGCCAACCATCAGTGCCCGGCCTTCATCTTCTCTTTTGCCAACACTGTGCCTCTGTTCATACCAGCCCTTTGCCTAGAACTGGCCCCTCTTTGGTTAGTGATTTTTCTCTCAGCCTTTACTTCATTTCAATTCAGCAAATACATGATACAAGTCTATTGTGTGCCAGAGACTGTGTTAGGTTCTGGGGACGTACAGAGAACAACATGAATAGGTCCTTGCCTTCAAGTAGCTTCCTTTCTCTTGGAGAAATGCTATATGCACATAAGTAAGCAAATTCAGAGTGAGCAAGGGAGTTTCAAGAGAGCTGAGAGAATCAGAAAAGGCCTGAACATGCCGCCTAAGTTGTGCTTTGAAGGAACTTAGACATTCAAGACTCAGCTCAGGTAACACCTTCTTCAGGAAGCCTTCCTGGATTTCATCTTATTTCCCAGAAGAAAGTGATCTCTTTTCCTTCAAAATTTTCTCCAAAACTTTGACGTGATCTCTCCTTTTGCATGTTCTATCTTGTATCATAATTACTTCTGTGTACTCCACATTCCTCCATTAGGTTATAACCCCTGAGGAAAGCAAAGAAAGGGAGGAATGTGTCTGTTTTCAGCTTTATTCCCATAGTGAGCACATCACAGATGACAGGCTTCAGGGGCTGCCTCAGTCTAGGGGAAAGAGTAGAGGACCTGAAGTCAGAAGGCCTGTGTTTGAATGCTAACTGACTGTGTGTGGCTTAAACACCTTTCTTGCCTTAGTATACTCATCTATAAAATGGGGATGGTTATTCAGTCTTTTTCAACATATTAATTTTGCTAAAATGCTTTTTCTCCTCTTTTTTTATTCTTCATTATAAGGGATGGCTCTCTGGGAAGAGAAAGGGGGAATTTCACACTGAGAAATGTAAGTGATAAAGATATCAATATAAATTTAATTTAATTGTTTTGTTTTTTTTTTAAATGGGGAACAGGGATAACTGGCTCATCTACCTCAGAGAATGTCTGGGGGTTCAAAGGAGAGAATGTACGTACAGTTTAAACCTCAAAGCACTTTATAAAAGTCAACAATTACTGTTATGGGTTCATAATAAATGCCTCTTGAATTAATTTAAATTATATCTGAGCGGGAAGTCTTGAGGGAAGAGGGAGAGGGTTGCTTGGCAGAGAGAGGGAAGAGCCAATGTTCCCAAACCTTTCCACATCAAGGATCTTCCCAGCTGTCCAGGCAGCTGTGGTGTAGAGGAGAAGCCACTAAACCTGGGTTCAAATCCCAGGTTTACTAACTAAATGACCTTGGGCAAGACACCTAACCTCTCTGTCCTAGTTTCTCCGTCATCAAAAACGAGTTGAACCCAACAGCCTCCCAGGTTCCTTCATCTCCAAATCCCTGTTCCTATGACTGACTGTCTGATCCCTCTGTCCTCTGAAACTCCTCTGACTTTACATCACCCCTCCCAGCTTCATGATGGCAAAAGCATGAGGAAATGCTGCAGGGAGTTGTCCTTGGTGAAGAAGGCAAACCTTGGAGCTTTCCCTGAATCATAGAATCCTGATTTTTATTCAGAGAGGGAAGGGGCCCAGGCGGCCAGCTAGTCTAACCTGTATCTGAGTAGGAGTCCCTTCTGACAAAGGTTCATCAGCTCCACCCAATGGTCTTCAGTGTTGAGGAATCCATTCCTTTCACAGGCAGCCCAGGCCACTTGAGGCTGGCCTCGATTCTTAGGACATTCTGCTCGACATTGAACAGAATTTGGTCTCTCTACCATTTCTATTTCAAAAAGAACAGGTCTATTTCATCTTTCACATGATTTCTCCTTCAAACACTTGAACACGCCTCAAGTTCTTTCTTCTCCATGCTAAGCCTCCCAAGTTCCTTGAATTTTTCTTCATGTGGCATGAGCTTAAGGCCTGGAGAAACTTCTCTTCCAAAAAAAAAAATCCCTTCTAAAAAAAAAAATCTGTGCATTAACTGTATGTGACTGCAAATGTGTCATCCCATACTCACAGTCCACCGCCTAAAGTCCCACTGGCTTTTTTGACTGTGTCACGTTCAACTATCAAGCAACAATCATTTCTTCAGGGCAGCTGGGTCACACAGTAGATGGAGATCTGCACTTGCAGCCAGGGGTAGCTGGGCTCAAATTCAGCCTTACACATTTTCTCACTCTATGACCTTGGGGAACATACCTAACCATGCTTAGCCTCAGTTTCTTCATCTGTACAATGAGGAAAATAATGGCACCTATGTCACAGGGCTTCGGGAAGATCAAGTGAAATAATGTGTTTGCAATCTTTGCAAAAGTTAGTCAATAAACAATTATTAAGTACCTACTATGTGCCTTTAGGTGTTAGCTATTGTTATTAATAATAATCATTCTATTTTTTTCATCCTGTCAATAAGGACATCACAGTACATTTTGCCAAGTGCTTTGCTGAACTGGAGATAAAACTGCCTTTGGTTCTGACTTGTGGCCCCTAAAACACATCTGTCCCTCTCTTGCACCAGAACCATTTGGAAAGTCTGAGGCTTGGAGGCAAAGGACCCATTTCCATTGAGTGGGCATTTATTTGTCCAAGAGACATTATGGGAGGATGGAAATAGGTCCAGCCTTAAAGTGAGGAAGACTTGGGCTCTCAGCTGGTCTCTGATCCACACTGGTGGTGTGACCTGGGCAGAATGTTCAACCTTCCATTGTCCAAAGGCAGTTGTCTGAGGCCATGGACAGCAGGGAAGCTTCTGGTCTGGACTAGTAGAATAAGTTCTTCACAGGAGTTCTTTACTTTGATGAAAATGACAATTTTCGCTTTTAAAAATATATAAGGCATTGTGCTAGGGACTGGAGATAGACAGACCATAAAGGCACTTGTTTGGTTTAAGAGCTTACGTTTGATCAGATGTGGGCTTGAAGCCCAGCCCTACTGTCTACCACCTGTGTGACATTGGACAAGCCACATTGCCTCTCTGGTACTCGATTTCCTCATCTGTTAAATGGGCATAATATCACTCCCACTACCTTCTTCACAGAGTTTCTGTACGGGAAGCATCTTGGAAATGGCAGTTGTCCAGGATGCTATTGTTTCCAGAAGAGGACTTGACTCCTAGCTCCTCCCCTCCTTTTCCTTCCTTAACTCTCTCTTCCCAGTTGAAGCCCACACAAAGCCCTCTGGTCATTGGTTTCCTCTGGCTTCTTCCTGCTGCTATCAATGAGGAAATTATTAGGGTGTGTAAATGCAAGACATTTAAGGAAATGGAAGTAGGGAAAGTAACAGAGCATTGACATAAAAGCCCCCATTGGTGTACTTCCCATTAACAATTAGCCAGTAGACTTAGTTGATTTTTTTTTAGGCCAAAGGCATTTATTTACTCAAATGGTGTCAAAAGCATTAGTTACAAAGCATTTCTATCAGAATCAGGTTTGCACTTTCCCGCAAATACACTTAGCATTCATGAAGGTAGAGTGAGAATTAATTGAAAATACTAATGTAATGTAATATAACATAATGAGGCACATATGCAGGGAATATACTTGTCAAAGAAAGCTCATAACTCCAGGGCTGCAGGGCCTCAATGTCCTTTCTTTTCTCTGGAGGTCTTTCTAAAGTTTGACTCAGAACATGGCTTTGGTGATGGACAAGTTACTATGCTACTCAGATTCAGGGTATAACTTTGTCAGGATCCTCTCCCAAGACCACCCTTCTTTTTGCTGCTCTCTTTTCTTATTATTAGGAGACATCCTGTTTTCCAGGGCTAAGCAAGCAAGCTGTGCCTTGAGCTTGGCATAACAACAGTGCTCTACGCTCCTCCTCTGGATGAACTCTGCTGCAGCTAAATCACAGAACTGGTGATCCCTGAGCTCAGACAAGCACCTACAGGAACCATGTCCCATCCTGAAGCCCTGCTATGAATATACTTTTGTCGTTAGACAAACTAGCCACATTGTTGCTGTTAACCCTCACTGCTGCTGTTATACCTTACTGCTATGTTCTTTGCTTGCCACAACTATATGTATCCAGGCTTAGCCTCAAAGTCTTGAGTCTCCTTGATCCTGGAGCAGACCATGGCAGAAGTATCTATTTTCCCTCCAAGAGAATAAAGAAGGCTCTATGAAATGGCCCTCTGTCCCAAGAAGATTCCAGGTAGCATAAAAATCTTGAAGAAGGAAAAGATATCATAGAATGAAGTTCGGGTTAATATTCCAGAACTGAAAACCATATCTCAAACCCCATTTTTCCTGGACCTCTCTCTTCCAGAAATCAGTGGGGTTCCTCCCACAGAGCTATATCAAGAATTCAAATTGAATAGTAGTTTCAACCTTGGTATCATCCTCAACTCCTCGTTCTCTCTCACACATTCCCCATCCAACCAGTTGCCAAATCCTCTCCTCTGTAAATTGTATCATCTCCCCTCTGACACTACCCCCATATTGGTACAGGCCTTCATCACATCATTCCCAGTGGTGGCGTTGACTGAGCTATTACAATAGCTTTCTGGCTGGTCTCCCAGCTTCCCATCATTCCCCATTCCAGTCAGTTTTCCACTCAGCAGACAAAAATGAGCTTCCAAAAACACAGATTTGACCATGTCACCCTACTCTCATTTGATAAACTTTCCTGACTCCCTGTTCCCTCCAGGATCAAATAGAAAAGCCTCTTTTTGGCTTTCAAAGCCTTTCATAACCTGCCCAGCCTTCCTATCTTCCCAATCCTCTTGTATCTTACACTCCTCCACTTTCTCTTCAATTCAGCAACACTTCTTGTTCCAAACTTGGAGGATTTTTTTCTGGCTGTCCCCCATGCCTAGATCTTTCCCTCCTCATGTCCAACTCCTGGCTTCCTTCAAGTCTCAGCTAAAATCTCACTTTCTCCAAGAGACTTTCCTAGTCTACTTTAATCTTAGTGTCTTCCCTCTGAGATTGCCTCCAATTTATCCTTTTCTTTATGGGTGGCTAGATGGTACAGTGGTTAGAGCTCTGGGACTGGAGTTAGGAAGATCTGAATTCAAATCAGATACTTACTGGCTGTGTGACCCTGGGACAGTCATTTCACCCTGTTCACCTCCATTTCCTCATCTGTAAAATGAGCTGCAGAAGGAAATGGTAAACCACTGCAGTGTCTTTGCCAAGAAAACCCAAATGGGGTCATGAAGAGTCCAATTCAACTGAAAAATGACTGAATAATGACATTTTGAACAAGGATTAGATTTGTCCTGTTTGAGCCCAGAGACCAGATCTAGGAGCATGAGTGGAGCCAATAAAGAAGAAAAGTTCGGCTGAATGTGAGGGAAATTGTCCCAGGGAGAACTAGCCCAAAGTTGAATGGGCTGACTCAAGGGTCGTGAGTTCTCCCTCACTGGAAATCTTCCAGGACAGACTGGGTGGTTACTTGTCAGGACATTACAGAAGAGATTTCTACTCCAATATGGGTGGGAATGTCCACCTTTGGACTCCGGTTCCATGTCAGAAAAGCCTCTTTTATTAAGTCAACAATACACAGATAGAGTCACACATTTTCTCAAGGAATTAAGGAGGAAAATAAAGTAAAACTGAACCAGGCCCGGAAGTTCTAGATGAGAGAGATCCAATATCATGGAGGAAGGCGGGAGAGGGGATGAGCTCAGAATTGGAAGTTCAAAATCCTGTGGTCAAGACTGTGCTTTACTCATTTCTGTGAGATCTGGGACAAGTCCCTTCTCCTCTCTGGGCCTGAGTTAATTCCCTTGAAAAATGAAAAGGTTGGATTAGATGATATCTAAGGGACTTTTAAACTCTGACATCCTGTGTTCTAACGTCCTCTTTGCACTGACATTCTGTTTTAAGAGCCCTCCCAGCTCTGACATTCCCTGTTGTAAGGCCCCTGCCAGTTCTGATGTCCTCTGTCCTATGGGACCTCCCAGATCTAATGCCACATTCTAATGTCATATCCAGTTCTGACATTCTGTATTCTCTGCTCTGACATCTCTTCTAGCTCCGGCATTCCACATTCCTATCATTCTATGTACCTAATGCTGTTAATGTGCTGTTGGATCAGTCATGCCTTGGAATCTTGTGGGTGATAATTTGAGGACCTCACTAACTAGTCTGGGATTTACAAGCCTGAGCAATATAGCCCTGTCAAAGACATTGACTACAGACATAGAACATCGAGGGCCTATGGGATAAAGAAGAAAACACACACCTCTTCCTTCTTCACATTACCCATGCTCCAAATCCACTATTGTTTTTCAAGTAAAGTCCATCTCCTTTGCCCAGCATTCAAGGCCCTCAACAATTCAATGTCACCACCCCCCAAAACCTTTGGGTACAAAGCTTTGTATCATATCTTTTCTCCACACGCATATCATTCAGAATGGAACGAGCAATGAATTTAGAATCTGAAGACCTGGATTCAAATTCCACCTCTATCACTTATTAGTAACCTGTGTGACCTTATGAGAGTCAGCTAACATCCTTGGGCCTCAGTTTCCTCCCCTGTAAAATGAGGGAGTTGCATCAGATGGCCTCTGAAGACCTTTCCAGCCCTAGCACTATGATCCTAGATCACTAGATGCCATTGGGGCTGGTCTACTCTCTGCCCCCTTCACACAAATTCCTGCCTCCAAGCCTCTTCTCTTGCTGTTGCCTGTGCCTGGACTGTCCTGCCCTCCTAATGTCTGCTTGATTCCCACACACCTCTCCAGGAAGTTTCCTCAACCACTTCTGAGCTAGAACCATCTTTCCCTTGATGGAACTCACAAAGTCCTTGCTTTCTGCCTCCATAATAATAATGAGAGAGAAGAATAGCGCCTATACAGTGTTTTATGGTTTGTAAAGCACTTTTACATATATTTTCTTATTTGATCTGCGTAAAAATCCTGAGAGGTAAGAGCTATTATTATCCCCATTTTACAGATGTGCCTAAGGTCACACAACCAGTTAGTGTTTGAGGCAGCATTTAAACTCACATGATGAATGTATTCTACTTCTCTGGCCTTGTGTCTTCTCCCTCCCTTCCCCTCCCTTCCCCTCCTCCCCACTAAACCTTGAGCTCCATGAGGGCAAGGGTCATCTCTTGTCTAAATTCTGCCTCTGCCCCAGCTCTTGGCACAGGGCCAGCATTATTGCACATTTGTTGATGTAAGTGGAGAATCTTAGGGATTCAGAATGTTGGGATCAGAGACGATGAGATTTGAGGGGCCTAGAATGTCAGGAATAGGTAGGAAATATTCCATCTTGAGGGTCCAAAATCTCATGGATGGACACAGAAAATTGTCCTCTGCTTTTGGACAGTCAGGAATAAATCCACAACACCAGAATTTTTTAAAGGCCTGGAACAGATCCAGAACAATCCAGAACATTGTCTCTGAGGGGCCTAGGATTCTCAAATATCACAGAACTGCTAGGGAAAGGCAGGCAGAGCTTGTGGGAGGAATAAGGTTGCTCAGCTGATCTCAAGACTACGACTTTATTCCACGCCCTTCTTCCTCCGGGGATCCCCCGCCTGGATTGTATTCCGGATCCAGTCCACATAACGGGATACACGAGTGTAGACACCTGGTCGGTTGGGCTGGCCACATGGGAAGTCCCCCCAGGAGATCACACCTTGCAGAGTACCGTTACAAACCAGTGGGCCCCCTGAGTCACCCTGGAAAGAGAGTAAGAGACAAATTTAGTGACAAAATCACATCCAACCCAGGGAGAAAGACAGAGAGAAAGAGAGAGTGGTAGAAACACAGGCAGCAATATACACAGAAAAGGGTAAAAGAAAGGTAGAAGTAATTAAAGGGAGCTATCTTGAATCAAGGCCAGTTGGGTGGTGCCATAGTGCACAGAGCGCCAGACCTAGAGTCAAGATCATTGGTTTTTCTGAGTTCAAATCCAGCCTCAGACACTTACTGTGTGACTCTGGGCAAGTCACTTCACCTTATTTGCCTCAGTTGCCTCATCTGTCCAATGAGCTGAAGAAGGAAATGGCAAAGCATTCCGCCATCTTTGCCAAGAAAACCCCAAATGGGGTCACAAAGGTTCAGACATGACTGAAGCAACTGAACAACAAAATCTTGAATCACGGAAATTCTGGCAGAGATTTAAAATGGAGGAATAAGCACAGAGATAATAATGGAAACAGAAGAAGAGAGAGATGCATGCAGAGAGAGGCTGACAGAGACAAAGGCAGAGAAAAGTAGAGTGAGTCAGGGGTGGGGGAGATATTCAGGCAGAGACCTACAGTGGAAAGGGGCAGAGTGGTCCCAGAACCCCTATCATGTAATCAATCACCATGTTGTCTGACAAGCCTCTCTTCTTTCCTATGCTTCATCTCATATGCCCTCTTTCCATTTCCTTATTCCCCTAGTGTCTATAAAGAAACCACCCTTGCTGTGTCAACATATAGTCAACATCTACACATTGTGTTTTGTGTTTCCATCGTGACTTCAGCACTGTACCAATCACTGTAGAGTGGTAGAAGAAGAAATCTAGACTGATGTGGCCCCCTTCTGGAGGAATACCATCAGTGGGAAGGCCTCTGCTCTACACCCTGCACCCTGGCCATCTGCCCTTCCAAGGAAGATGGTGAGTAGATATACTCATGGCAAGTGTTCTTTGGTATAAAGAGATGTTGGAGGAGCCCCTTTGGAAGAATGATTCCAAACCAAAATGGTGGCTCTTAATGCCAAAGGCCCCAGATAACAGCCCTGGGAAGTGGGGGATGAGGGTCATGAAGGTCATGGAACTTGGACCAAGTGATCAAGCCAGATGAAAGGAGATGTGAGTATGGTTTAATGGGAAGGCTCTTTTTTGGACTCAGAAGACCTGGGTTTGAATTTTGGCTCTGTTCCTTATTTTCTGCAGGACCTCAGGCTAGTCACTTAAACCTTTGGGCTCGTTTTCCACACTATAAAACAGCTTCAACAAGATGTTTCCTAAAGTATCTTTAAATCTTGCAATCTGAAGGTCAACAGGGCTCCATAATTTCAATAATCTCCATTAACATAGAACCTTCTTATTTTTACTCTTTTTCATAAAAATACCTGGAGTGATTGTAAACTCCTTGGGGGCAGGGGCTGTCTTTTGCCTCTTTTTGTATCCCTTGCACTTAGCACAGTGCCTGGTCCATAGTAGGTGCTTAATAAATGTTGATTGATTGACTGGAATCCTTTTGGAAAATTCATTTTTGAAGTCACAGGATGAAACATATATTTTGGTGATGGAGGCAATGTGGGGATTTGTTTGACTCTGCATATTTGTTACAAGGACTTTGTTTTTTTTTTCTTTTTATTTTCCCAAGGGGTTGGGTGGGAGGTCAAGTTGAGGATAAGGATGGCATAACAAAAAAGAAAAAAACCAGACAACTATCTCTGGTTTTGGGCTACCAAGGGACAGACATCATATGAACATCCCTTTAGAGCTGGAAGGGATTTTAACAGTCCACTGGGTCCATCTCCTTCATTTTTTTCAGATGAGGAAACTGAGGCACCTAGAGGCTAAGTAATTTGGCCAGCATCACATGCCTGCTGTCTGAGATAGGATTTGTAAGTTCCTGTTCTTCTTGATGCCAAGCCCAGTTCCTTATCTATTAAGCCACTCACCTAAGAGGATAGGCTGTGTGCTGGTGCTGACTAGAAAGAAGAGTATGAGAGAAAGGGAGAGATCCTATAGGGTTATTCCCAGAGACTCCAGGATCAGGGCTATAGAAGAAATGGGAGGTGAGGGCTAAAATTTGGACCTATGCCCCTTTCATATTTTGCAGGTGGTTTCTCTGTCTCTCTCTCTGTCTCTCTCTCTCTCTCTCTCTCTATCTATCTCTTTCTTTCACACTCTGTCTCCCTCTTTCCATCTCTCCCTCCCTCTCTTCATCTCCCTTCTTCTCTCTCTCTTTCTCTCTCTCTCTCTCCTCTTCTCTTTCCTCTCCTCTCTTTTCTCTCTCTCCTTCCTCTGTGCCTATCTTTCTCTTTCTATCTCTCTCCCATTCTTCCTCTCTGTCTTTCTCTCTCTCTTTCTCTGTCTCCATCCATCTGTCTCTCTCTCCCTCCTTCTCTCTCTTTATCCATCTCTATCTCTCCGTGTGTCCTTCCATCTCTCTTCTCTCAGTGTTTTTCATCTTTATTTTGGGGTCTCTCTGACTGTCTTCTCTCTTTCCCCATGTCTCTGTGTTTCTCTTTCTTTGTCTTGGGAATTCCTTCTATGCCTCATTCTCAGCTCAAATGCTGGAAGGAAGTAAATCTTTAAGAATTTAGAAATCCCAGTGTTTTTTATAATTATCGCTCTTTATCTGTACCTTTCTTTCTTTGCTTTCTCTCCATAGCACTGCCTCTCATTCTAATCTATTTCCTTTTGCCTCTCCACATCTCTTCTTTCTCTGGCCACCTCTCAGGAACGGGGTCTGTCTGTGTATTTCTTTCCATGTCTTTGTCTCATTCTCCTTTAGTGTTTTTTATCCATCCGTGTGCTTTCTATTTCTATCTATCTGCAACTCTCACGTTCTTTTCTCTCTGTCCTGGTTTGCTCTCTATCTCTCCACTGTCTTCTGTCCCTCTTCCTCTTCTCTTTCTGCCTCCACTCTCCTTCTCTGTGTATTTCTGTCTTTCTCAAAATCTGTGCCTATTTCTCTGCAAATCTCAGTCTTTGCCTCCATGTGTCCCTAATTTTGTCTCTCTTTTCCCTGTATGCCTCTCCATATCCAAATGGATGTCTCTTTGTCTCTGTGTCTCTCCTATCTCTTTTTCTATCTCACCCTCTTCTCTGATTCCGTGTTTCTGTGTCTTTCTATGTCTAGTTGCATGTAAGTCTCTATGTTTGCATGATTATCATTCTGTCTTTCCTCTGTGTCTACTTTACCCTTTCCTTTTCTCTATCTTTCATGCCTCTCTTCTCTATCTCTTTAAATATTTGTGTCCATTCCCCTTCTCTCTCTTAAATGTGAAGCAGGGAAAGAACTCCTCCACTCACCACCAATATGACCTGGGACAGGGGATAGTCATTTCACAAAGCAAAGCTTCAAAGTCCCCATCTGTACTATAAGAGGGTTGCATAAAATCTTTTCTAAAGCCTGTTCTGGTTCTAATGGTCTGTGTTCTATGAGAAACACAATTCATGAACTTCCCATATCTCTCTCTCTTTCTGCCCTCTGTTTCTCTGTGTCTGCTTTTTTCATGGCTCTATCTCACCTCACAAGAGTCTTTGCCACCTTCTTTGGATCCAGCACACAGCATGTTGGGTGTAATCTTCCCGGGGTAGTTATGATGACATTCCTCATCTGAGCGAAGTTGAATTTCAGCACACTGGAGGGTTTTGGGGTAACTCACTGTAGGGAGATAAGAAGAGTGAGGGCTGCATTTCCTGACTCCTGTGAGGGAGAAAGCTAAGGAGAGGGAAGAGAAAGGAAAAGGCTATAGATGGAAGAGATAGGAGATATGATGAAATGGGGAGGGGGAAAGAATAAGGAACAGGAAGGGAGAGAAGAGGAGTGAAATGATAGGAAAGGGCAAGAAGAGCAGGGAGGTAGGACAAAAAGGGGAGATGGGTGGATGTAAGAAGATACAGGGAGAGAAGAAAGGTGAGGCAGATGGAGAGATATAGGATGCAGGAGGGAATGAGAAGAGATGGAGAGGAAGGGTATGTAAAGAAATGAAGGAAGACAGGAACATGAGGAAAGAGAAGAAAGTGAGATGTAGTGATATGGAGGAGATGTAGAAAGATGTGGAGGTGGGGACATGGGGGAGATGGTATAGAAGTTAACATTAGAAAGAGATCATCTAGTCTAACTTGGACCCAGGCAAGAATCTTCTCTACAACCTACCCAACAAATTGGCACCCAGTCTTTGGTTACAGACCTCCATGGAAGAGGAACCCACTACCTCCTGAGGTTACCTATTCCATGTGTGGACAGCTCCCATTATTGAGAAGTTTTCCTTAGATCAAGTGGAAATCAGCTCTTTGTAAGCTTCTACCCATTGCATCTAATTCTACTGTCTGAGGCCAAGAAGAATAAGCTAAAGGCTTTTCTAGGCAGGCAGACTTTAAAATCCTTAAAGAAAACTCTCATGTCCCTACCTAGAAGGGGAGAGATAAAGGGAAGTGGGAGGCATAAGGAAAGATGAAGCATTGTTAGATATTGGAGACATATGGGAGATGGAAAGAGGGAGATGTAGAGAGATGGGGAGAGATGGTAGAGATAGAGGGAAATGGGAGGCATGAAGAGAGATGAAGCATTGTTAGCTATTGGAGAGATGTGGGAAATGGAAAGAGGGAGGTAGAGAGAGATGGGGAGAAATAGGGAGAGATAGAGGTTAAATGAGAGATGGGAAAAAATGAGAAATGGGAGACAGTAAGAGAGATGAAAGGAAATGAATGGTGCAGGGAGGTGGGAGAGAAGGAATTTGACAAGAAAATTTGGGATTGAGGGAAGGAGGGATACTAGGGCAGATGTAAGGAGATGGGGAAATAAAAGAAGATAGAGAGAAATGATGAGAAAAAAGAAGAGATAGAAAGAAGAGAGAAAATGGGAGAGATGGGGAGAAATTTGGGGAAGAAGTGAAGATGGAGAGAGATTTGGATATCAGGGATAGATGGAGGGGGACAGAAAGATATTAGGAATATGTGGAAAGGTGGGAGAGATGGGGAGGTGGAGGAAATGGGGAAATGAAATGTTTAAGAGAATTGGATTAGATAGAAGATGGGACATATAGTGAGAGAATGGAGGGAGATAAGGGAGATGGGCACAAGTAGAAGCTGGGGATATATTAGGAAGAGATGAGGAGGAAAGGCAAATATAGGGAAGAGAAAGGGTGTTGGAGAGAGATGGAAAAGAATAAATGAGAAGATTTGGGGAAACCATAAGGAGATGGAAGAGACAGTGGAAAATAGAAAGATTTGGGGGAGAAATGGAGAGAGATGGAGAAAGATGGGGGGAGGTGGAAATAAAGGGAGAATGATGAAGTTGATGGACAGAAATTGGGGAGAGATAGAGATGAAAGAGAGGGGATTTGTAAATAGCTGACAAAACTTTTTATTAAGGAGTGATAAGAGAGATATGGAGAATTGGGGATGGAAAGATGGGGAGGAGGTGGGAAGATTGAGGGACGTGAGATGCAGATGGAGAAATGGAAAGCGTGAAGATATGGACAAGACGGAGAGAGATTTATCTAAACTGATAGGGATAGAGAGAGATGGCAGGAGCTGGGAAGGTGAAGAAAATGGGAAGAAGTCTAGGAGAGATGGGGAATAATGGATGAGACAGAGGGAGGTTGAGACATAGGGGTAGTGATGAAAAGAGACAAGGATATAGGAGGAAGTGAGTTGGCTATAGCGAGATGAATAAAGGGATGTCATTATATAGCCGAGACTTAATCCCTGTTCCTTGCCCCACATTTTGATGCTTTTTACCCTTTATGAGCTGGGCTGCTGAGATGTTTCTCTGGTCAGCCATGGGAGAAAAGCATACCCTGAGGGCTCGTGGTAGTGCCCCAGCCTGACACTATACAGCAGGTGCCAGGAGGCAGGCAGTCCTGGTTGGGCAAGGGGAGGATCTGGACATGGTCATTCAGCTGGGCTGGCTTCTGAAGGTGCAGGAGCATAATATCATGGTCATGGTTGTGGTGGGTTGGGCTGCTCCGGTACAGTGGGTGCGGGATAGAGCGGATGACCTTTTGGGCTTGCTCTCCTTCTTCCCAGTGACTCAGGGCATGTTTACCCAGGACCACCATGTACTGGCTGTAGACAATAGGGAGGTAATTAATGAGGCAAGTCCAACCAATTCTTCATCCCCATCTTCGTGCCCACCTCATCCTGATTCCCATCCCATTCCCTTTTTAATCCCTTCCCCATTAGCATCCTCAACCTTATATTTATCTCTATACTATTTTTGTTCCATCCCTATACTGATCTCTATCTTTGTCTGTGCCTTATTCCCAATCCCATGGTTATCCCTAAGCCCATCACCAGCCCCAGCCACATGGCACATACTCCTTCAGGCAATGAGCTGCAGTCAGCACCCAGCTGGGGTGGATAAGGATGCCCCCACAGAGCAGCCGTCGATTCACAAGCAGAGCAGCCTGCCAGGGCTGTGAATGGGGGGTGCATTCCCTGACTCCAGGGAGGGCACCCTGGCCACCATTAGAGCTGTTGATAATCTTGGGGAGTTCCTGGGAGATGGCTGGGAAGCAAGGGAGACAGCCATCAGGGATAGATCAAAGATGGGGGGGCAGTGGACAAAGATGGGAGGGAGAGAAGAGAAAGATCTAGGGGCCAGAGATCCCTCTGGACAAAGTCTTGTTGGGGGAGGGGTGGTTCATAAAGGGATCATCAGTAGGGTCAGAATAAGAGGGATCTTGGGGTCTGGGGAGGATTAATGGCATCTTGCATACAGTAGGTGATTAATAAATTCTTTAATTATACATTTTAAGGGTAGGGACAGGAGAGAGTTTAGGAGTTGGGGGAAGGGTCAGAAAGTTAGAAGGGGAAAGTCTGGAATTCAATGATATATCATCAAGGTGTCAGAAGACACTGCATTCACTTCCACAAGATTTTGAGTTCCAAATTTTCTCCCCATCTCGTCCCTACCTCCACCCCAAAATGGCACACATTCTGAATGCCCCTTCTCCTAATCTACCCTCCCTTCTATCTCTCCCCCCCTTCTCTTATTCCCTTCTCCTTCAATTTTCCTTGTAGGGCAGGATAGATTTCTATACCCCATTTCCTGTATACCTTATTTCCCAGTTGCATGTGAAAACAATTTTTTTTTAACTTTTGTTTTTAAAACTTTGGGTTTCAAATTTTCTCTCTTCCTCCCTCCCCACCCACCCTCATTGCTAAGGCAAGCAACATGATACAGGCTATACATGTATAGTCATGCAAAACACTTCCATAGTAGTCATGTTGTGAAAAACTAAGTATATTTCCCTTAATCCTATCCCGCCCTCCATTTATTCTATTCTCTCTTTTGACCCTATCCCTCCTTAGAAGTGTTTGCTTCTAATTACCCCCTCCCCTAATCTGTCTTCCCTTCAATCATCCTCCTGCTCTCTTGAAGGGAGAGGATTTATGGGATCAAAGGAGAAAACTCTGAAAAGTTAGAACTTCTTAAGTGAAAGGGGAAGTCTTGATGGATGGGCGAGGGCCGAGAAGTTCTGTAAATTCCAGGAGATGGGGGATCAAAGCTCTGGGGGGATAACAGGGGATCCTAGGGGATCAGACCAAGGAGTGTTTGAGGGTCCAGGAGTTATGAGGCTGTAGCCTAGGGGATCAAAGGGTCTGGAAAGGAAAGGGTTCAGAGTGAGAGTAAGGCTTGCAGTATTAAGGGGGAATTTGACAGGGTGGCAGAAGGACAGTTGGGAGTTGAGAAGGGGCCCTAGGGGCTGAGAGCAGAGTAAGAGACCAAGCAGGAGCCAGGGGGTCAGGAGAAGGGCAGATGCAGAACCTGGAGCTACGTGGGTTGGGGAGAAATCAGGTCACACTGAGAGCTGGAGCACCTTCAGCCAGCACCCACCCTTCTCCTCCCCACTCTAGTAGCTCCTGGGCAGCAAAGGGGAAACGGGGCCAGAGGTCTTGATTCCCACACCCCCTCCCAGGCCTGGCCCCACGGGCCCTGAATTGACCTCACCCCCACAGCATTCTTACCGTGTGACAAGACCAGGACCAGGGCCAGAGGCAGCAGCCACATGGCATTGAGGGGTGGAAGCTGGGCCAGGATGGCGCTGTTGGCACTGGAGGTAGGGGAAGAGGAGGATGGGGGGGGGGCGGGGGGGACTCAATTGCCTGCCATTCCCAGTTCCTCTTCCTAGAATATTAGAGTGGGAAGCCCCAGAACCCCTGCTCCATCCACCCATCTCTTTTAGAATCCCTCCCACCTTGCTCCCCCCCTCACCCCAACACCTTTCCCTCCCCAGCTACATGAAATGCGTACCCCAGCTGGTCTCAAGAGCACTGCATTGCATCCATTCTCTCCTTATTCCTCCCCAGCCAGGCTGAGTCACCTTTTCAGTTCCACCACCCCACCCCCTTGTCTCTCTTTCCTCTCTCTCTCCATTTTGCCTTCTCTTCCCTTGTTTCCTCTCCCCCTTCCTCAAATCCTCTTCATTCTCTCAAAACAACTTCTTATTCCTCTAATTTCTTCTGCTTCTTCCTCTCTTTTCTCCTTTCCATTCCTCTTCTCTTCCTCTAGGTCCTGTCTTTCTATCTTCTCTCCTCTGCCTTCTCCTCCTTTACTGGCCTCTTGTTATTGTCCTCTTCTCTCTTCCTTTCTCCTCTTCCCTCTCCTCTCTTTTCTCCCTTCTCTTCTTCCCCTCCCAAGGCCCCTCATAGCCCCCAATACCTTAGAGACCCCTCGTTCTCCTTCTAGCTCCAGTCTCCTTTGAGGTCTACCTTGTCCTGAAGCTTTTAACCCATGACTTCCCTCCCCCATGAGCTTGCAACTTCTTCCTTATCTTTGTCCTCCCCCTCCACCCCCTCACTAATCCCCATATTGACAGCTCCATCTAGGGCCTCCAGGCTGGACTGGGCTGGGCACCCTATGGGGTGGAGTTTCCCAGCCTTGCTGGGATCCAGTTCTGAGCCCTGCCTCAGCCTGAGGGCCCCTTGGGCTGGGTGAACCCCAGGATCTGATCCAGGGGGGAAATTTGGAGAACAGGGAGCCCACTACATATCCCCACTCCACTCACATTCATACTCCTAACCCCATACTCATATCCCCTTTCCCATCACAAACACCAACCCATCCTCAAATCCTGTTTCAATTCCCAACTCCATCCCCATTCCCATCTTCTTTTCTAATTCCAAACCCAGCCCTATCCTCATTACTATTCTCAATTCCAACTCAATACCTAGCTCCATGACCAGTACCATCCCATCCCCCAATCTCAACGTCATCCCTAATTCCAATTCACACCCCCCATATACAACCCAAAGTAACTCAGATCTCATATGGATCTTAACCTTATCCCTAAGTTAAGTTTCATACCCATCATTGACCCTAACTGCAATATCAACTGAAAATTTAACCTCAAATCCAATATTGACTCCAAAGAGAACCTAATCCAACCTTCAATTTATCCCAACTCACTTATCCTCATTCTAACCTTTTCTCCAACCCCAAGCAACCCCAGCACCATAATCCCACACTCAACTGTCACCCTATACCTGTCCCACCCCTGGTGCTGTCCCTAACCTGAGCACTGACCTCAGACTACCTAACCCTAATCCTGCCTCATCCACCCCCACATTTGAACTCCAAACTCCACCCAGCCCCTTTCCCCAGAGCCACCCACTCTTCCCTAAAAATGCCGCCTCTTCCTTCTTCCCCCTACCCAACCCTTTCCGGCTTCCTCCTCCTCCCTTCCCATGCTCTCCATCACCTCTCTTCTGCCTTCCCTACATCCCATATCAGCTGCTTTCTCCATGCCTGTTTACAGTTGAGTCTGTCTCTTCCTCAAGGACTTTCTTGGTATTCCCCAATGTCTACTTGAAGGGGGTAAGGAAAGGGGTAACTATGGGCTAGGAGAGCTTGCCAAGTCTAATCTTTTAAATGCTTGATTGGGTATAGCTTATGAAAAGTCAGGAATAGGAATAAGATCTTTGAGAATGAGTTTAGGGCTGAAAACGGACAGGATGAGCCTTTGAATGGACCTGAAGTGAGAAGAGTTGTGGAGAGAAGATTCCTGTTCAGGGATGAGTTGAACTAGATGCCCTCTCAGGAGCCTTCCAGCGCTGGGATTCTGGAATTTACCTGAGAAGGATGTTGGACCAGAGTTTGTCTGGGTTATACACGAATTTGGCGCCCCCTAGTGGGCTGAAATAGTGGCCAGCTACACGTCAAGTCCATTTATCCAATGTGCAGGACTCTGTAAAAGGGTAAGTGTGGTATGTTAGACAGAACTGGCCTGGGAACCAGGAAGACCTGGGTTCAAATCCTGCCATTGACACATACTGCCAAGCCCTGTGGGAAAGTCATTAAATTCTCACCACTATTGGCAGTTGCAGAGAAAGTAGTCAGGAATTCCCTAGACCAATTAAGTCATATCTACTCTTATCCGATTGTATATAAGGAAAGGCTCAATCCTCAGTGGGAGACTGATAACTAGCAGCGTTCAGTCTAGTATGGGGTGGATATAAGGCTAAGGATTGCAGCAATTGAAAAGCAGGGTAAAAAGAAGGGTCAGTGCAGGGGATTTAAGGTATGGACTATGTCATTCCCCAGAGCAAAATACTCCAGTGTCTCTCTCTTGTTCTGATAAAATAAAAACACTTCAGCCTGGAATTCAATTTGGCTCCAACCTGCCACTCCAGACTTATCAGAAGTGAGTCAGCAAGTGCTTACTATGTCCTAGACCTGTCAAGTGCTAGAAATACAAATACAGGGAAAAAAAAAAAGGTAGTCCCTGCCCTCAAGAAGCTTACATTCCAGTGGAGAAAGACACCTAAAAGGAGACCTCAGAAAGAGGGGTGGGAGCGGTACCTCTGCAGAACCTGGGAATTAAGTCCTCAGAATGAAGAATGGTTGTTCTGGGGCCCTTCCCCAAAATGGAAGCTCCAGGAAGAACTCACCGATGGGAGAAAGGCTCTAACCTCTGCTCTTTCCTCTATTCAGCCACTAACCAAATTAACTGACTCCCCCACTCCCCGTTATCATCCTACATCCTTATGGCTCTCCCCAGCTGTTAGTGCCCCTTGCCCAACTATCTTGTGCTGGAGGCAGAGAGGACTGGAGTCAGGAAGATCTGAATTCAAATTTCGTATCAGGTACTTCCTAGCTATTCTTGTTGTTCATTTTTCATTGTCAAAGAGGACTGATGCCATCACGAGGGCCATATCTTGACTTGCTCATGAATTGGATTGAGGTAGAGCTGTTCAAAGTCATCTGCCTCTGTGTGGTCTTGGGTGAGTTACTTGACCTCTGTCTGCCTCAGTTTCCTCAACTGTAAAATGGAGATAATGACAGCATCTACCTCCCAGGGTGGTTGTGAGAATCAAATGAGATATTTGTAGTGTTGAGTATGGTGCCTGGCTCATAGCAGGTGCTTAATAAAGTCTTACCAGTATCCACAAATACATATGCATGCCAACTCCCCATAGAATGTAAATTCCTTGAGGTCAGGAATGTTTCACTTTGGACTTGATGACTCCAGCTCTCAGCACAGTGCCTGGCATATACTAGGCGCCTGATTGATTGGAAGGCATCCCCTCTTCTTCCCTCCAAGTTCAGCTCAGGCACCACTGCCTTCCTGAATCCTTCCCCCATGTGCTCCCAACATCCCCATTTTCTCCAAAGCGCTTTGAATCTCTTTTTTGTCCTTTTCCCTTCCCCATCCTCCCTGTGTGATGACGGATTATAAACTCCTTGTGAGCAGGGACTGTGCCATTTCCCATCTTTTTTACAGAGGAGGAAACTGAGGCAGGCAGCCCTTAAGTGACTTTCTCAAGGTCACAAAGCTACTGAGTGTTTGGGGCTGGATTTAAAATCCTCTTCCAACCTCCAGATCCACAGTTCTAACCACTGCGCCACCTAGTGGCCTCATGTGCATAGTAAATGTTTGCAGAGTGGAAGGGACAGATTTGGAGAGCGACCGACGTTTACCAATGGCCACAGGCACAAGGCCTAGCGCTGAGACTACAGAGATAAGAGAAATAGTCCCTGCTCTCGAGGACCTTCCATCCTATTGGAGCATGATGAAAAATGGAGACGTGGAACAGAGAGGGAGAGAGTCCCTGGAGGGTCTCAGCCACTGAGACCTGGGAAAGACCTTAGCCTGAAAAGGTCATCTGCAGGTGTCCTGATCTGTATGTGGCCACTGGACCCAGATGACTCCAAAGGATAGAGTGAGGCTGGTGACTTTGCACAGCCCTGCCTCATTTAAATCCAATTCACTTGCATGTCATGGCGACGCCTTCTTAATGTCATAGTCCTCTTAGAGAACGAAGGAAAACATAACACTCCTTGGTGCAGGCTCTCAAGGCTTCACTTCTGCAATAGCTGGTGGGAGGGAGTCCTTGACCACTCCCATCCATCCTACCAAAGTGATTTTCCTAAAGCACAGGTACAACCATGTCACCCCCTACTCAATAAACTCCAGAGGCTCCTATTCAAAGCCCTTCATATCCTACACCTCACTCTGCCCCATCCAGCCACACAAGCCTCCTGACTGTGCCATGAACAAGATACTGCATCTCTGGTCTCTGGGCATTTTCCCTGGCTGTCCCCTAAGCCTGGAAAGCCAAGATCTTCTCTCCTTCCCTCTGACGATTGCCCCTCCATGGGCAGCTAGGTGGCACCATAGTGCGCAGAGCACTGGTACTAGAATTGGAAAGACTCATTTTCATGAGTTCCAATGTGACCTCAGTTACTAGGTATGTGACCCTGGGTGAGTCATTTCACCCTGTTTGCCTCAGTTTCCTCATCTGTAAAATGAACTGGAGAAGGAAATGGCAAACCACTGTATCTTTGCCAAGAAAATCCCAAATAGGGCCACGAAGAGGCTGAAACCCCCCTGTTGTTTTTTAAATACATGGTTGTTTGCTTGTTGTCTCTATTAGACTGTAAGCTCCTCGAGGGCAGAGACTGTTTTTGCCTTTGCATCACCAGAGCCTGGTGTGTTGCCTGGTATGTGATAAGTGCTTAATAAATGCTAGATGCCTGACTGGCCAGGAGAGAGGTAGGCTAAAGCCAAAGAAATAGACAGGCATCACTAAAACTGGGCAGACGAAGATGGTGAGGGTGAGGAAAGGCAGAGCCCAGAACTTCCGGGCCCCCAGTGCTCAGGCTGAGCCAGAAGCAGCTCCGGGAGCCCTGGCCCTTCCCATTGTCCCCAAGGAGTTAATGACGCCTCTTTAATTTCCTTGATAATTAGGGGCCCATTGTCTGAACCCAAACTGGAAGGGCTGGTCTGTAGGGGGTGTTGGTGTCTGCTCACTCCCAGTCCCTGGGGCCCACGAGAAACCTGGAGAGGCAGACACCAGGAAGGAGCCCAGTTTTGGAGAGAGAAGGGGCTCTAGAGGCCTCAGTGACTTTGGGCCCCAGGCAGCTGGGACTAAAGCTGGAATCTGTATCCCAGGCCTTTCCGAGGGTGTCAGCATCTCCAAAATGGCAAACATCAAGGCAAAGAAGGGACAGAAACCCAGAAACCTACACACAGAGAGGATACAGCATCAGAAATAGAGACTGGGATACAGAGGAAGAGAGAAATGGTTTTAGGGGGGAAATATCCTCTCCTCACCACCTGTCACAGTGTAGCCTCTAAAAATGTGGGGAACCTGAAGCAGGAACTAAGATCTAGCTTATTACCTAAGCATGAAGGTTCCAGGGACAATGTCATGGGGAGGGGCCCATGAGGTCATGGGAGCAAAGGGACAGCAATATTCAGGACTTAAGGACATAGAGGCATAGTGATTGGGACAACGGGACTATACCAAGGGGTGTCTGGGGTTGTAGGAACAGGGACAAGGAACTCAACGAGAGCTAAGGGACAGTGAGGGGAAGTGGGGACAGCCACACAGAAGCCATGGTGATGGGGCGATGAGATGGAGGATGCAGATGGTGACATTAAGGACAAAAATCTGATGGGGAAGGTAGTGAAATTGACATGATAGCAAAATGGAGATTTGGGGACAGTGATGCAGAAGTGAGGCCATGAGGAAAAGGCGTGGACTCTGGCAAGGAATGGGGGGAGGGGTCCTCCCTGCACATGGGAGTCAGCCCTTTTACTTCTACTACTCCAGGTCCTAGCCCAGATGGTTCCAGGCTGTCCCTTTTCCCAGACTGCTTCTTTTTCTTTCCCACCATTCTTTCTTACCCTCCCCCCTCAATCACACAGGATGTTCCAGTTACAAAGGAAAAACCAGTACATCCCAGGCACAAAGGAAGTCCTGTAGGTTTTATTCATCTAAGACTGTTGGGGAGGGGTGACCAAGAGGGACCTGCTAAGTTACCTATTATTTTGGATACCTGAGCAAGGCAGTGGATTCATGAAAGTGGCTAGGGTACCTGGGAGGCTGGGGATAGATCTGCCTTCAGACCCCAGGATCAGGGGAAGATCAGGGAAAGAACACTAGCTATGTGACATTAGGAAAGGACACATCCTAGCCATGTGACATTAGGAGATCACATTTACCCTCAGTTTCCCCATTTGTAAAAATTTGAGTATATGGTCTTTCTAAAAAGGTCCTTTCCAGACCTGCTATTTCAGGGTCTAAAGTCCTTTCCATCTCTAAATCCTTTTGATTCCCTTTCCAGGAATCCAAATCCATACTAGAGATGGGTCCTCCAGAGGTCCATGGTTGGAAGTCAGGATGACTTGAGTCCTGTCCTTGGGGGAGGGGAAGGCTCCTGTGTAGGGTGTAGGGCTGTAGTTTCAGGCCACCTGTCCCTGGGGGCAGGACTGAGGACAGGTTGAACTGGGCAATCCTTCTGGGAGTGTGGGGGGAGCTCATCAATTCTTCTTCTGTATTTCATTTAGGATCCAGGTTCGGTAATGGCAGAGGTTGGTATAAACACCGGGAAACCTAGGCAGGGCACAGCGTTCCATGCCCCAAGACACCAGGCCCTGCAGGGCCCCATTGCACACCAAGGGGCCTCCGGAGTCACCCTGCAGAGACCAGGGCAGAAGGGCAAGCAGAAAGGGAGAGGCATTCATGAGAAGCATCGAGACAGGGGCAAGAGAGAGGAGACACACATCAACCTCGGCAACTAGAGACATCAGGAAGAATTCTTTGACCCCAGTCCACCTCCCTACTTCTAATGGACTTCTGAACCCTCCTCCCAGGGTCCACCCCCATCAGCCCAGGGCCTGTGGCTCACCTGGCACGAGTCCTTCCCACCTTCCTCAACCCCAGCACAGACCATGCCAGGAGTGATGGTTTTTTGGTAAGCACTTTTGCATTTTTCTTCAGATATGATAGCAATCTTCACGCACTGGAGGGCGCTGGGATATCTGACTATAGCCAGAGAAGGAGAGGGGGACCAGCTCAGCCCTAGGAACTGAGGCGAGGACCCAGTCTCTTTAATCAGACACTCAGACATCCAGTCTTAGCCTCATCCCCCCTTAGCCACCCAGCCTTTTGACTCCCCGCCAAGTGTGACCTAGGTGCCCTTACCAAAAGGACTCGATACGGTACCCCAGCCAGACACCAGGCAGGTTGTGCCGGGATTGACGCAGTTTTTGGCCAGTTGAATGGGGCGAACCTGGGGGGTCAGCCTCACTGGCTTCTGCAGGTAGAGCAGCATGAGGTCATTGTTGTTGCTCCTGGGGTTGTATGTGGGGTAGGGTACCCGGCGCTCCACCTTGACCCATTGCTGATAGGGCTCCAGGCGCTTGATGTTGTGTTTTCCCAAGACCACTTGAAGGTTCCTTGTAGGAATAGGGAGGTGAGGCTGCTCAACTCTGACTCCAATTGCCCCTCCCAATCCCAATTCCCAAGCCGCTCCCCACCAACCCTTCACACCCGTGGCATATGTAGCCTGACTGTCTTCCCCAGCCTTCCCCAGTCTCCCTCACCCCTAATCCATAGAGAACCTTAAGTCAAAAGGGGCGCTCAGAGAGGATCCAATCCAACTTCTCTCAGTTGACTGATGGGGAAACTGAGGCCCAGAGCGCAAACAAGTAGAAGAACCAAGATTCAGACTACAGATCTCCTGATGCAGGCCCAAGAGTTCTTCCCATTCAATACCCTTTTTTTCTTCTTTCTGATACAAGCCTGGAACTGAGTTCGACCTAGCCCTAGTACAGTGGGCTGGCCTGGGCTGAGAGACGTCAGGATCTAGCCTGATTCCTAGGCTGGTGGGGGCATGAGGATGGATGCTAGCCTAGCAGGGGGATCACTCACCAGTGGGTACAGTGAGCTGCTGTGAGGACCCAGCGATTGGACAGCAGGACACCCCCACAGTGGAAGTTCTGATTGATGAACAGCGCAGCCTGCCAGGGCTGGGAGTGTGGAATACACGCTTGACCACCAATGATCTTATCCTCGCTCCTCTCTGAGTTGGCTGGGGAGGGAGAAATGTGGGGATGGGGAATTGGAGGCAATCCTCTCAAACTCTGAAGCCCCAATCTCTTCTCCTTCTGGTCCACTTGTTCATGCATGTGGACCTGATAGCTAACTTCCCATAAACTATGCTTGATGACTAAATGGAACTTTGATTTGAAGAGGGCTTTCTGTAGAGGAGCTAATTTACTCCTTTTGTGAACCCATCTTACAGAGGAGAAAACTGAGGCATAGTGAGGTTTAAATGACTTGTCCTGGGTTATAATCACTTAACTTCATTGTCTCCTATCTCTCAACGCCTTGCATTCCACTCCCCCAACACACACACACACACACACACACACACACACACACACACACACTCCATTCCATAGACTCCTACAAAACTGTCCTCACCCTCATCCCTCATATTTCCCTGGGGCCCACCATTCTCCTGGCCCCCTGTACCACTCATCTACTTTCCGAGACTTCCTAAAGCTGCACAATCTCTTTGAAGACTCAAACCTTCTTGTAATCTTTGGTGGCCCCCATCTAAGAGGATCTCCCCACAACCCCTTCTTATGGTAGAACCAACCAGCTCCTTTACTTTCCTGTCACCCCTCATCATCCTCTCATACAGCCCCCTCCCCCCAGTTTGCCCAACTGAAATTATCCCCCCACCACCTCCCAGTTCTATTCATATAATCTCACCAGATGCCTCCAGGGTTGTTTCGAAGATGAGGAAATACTTGTTTGAAAAAAAACAAACAAAACACCTAGTACTTCGTCAGGCACCTAGTAAGTGTTATCTAAATGCTTATTCCTTTCCAAACATCCCCGCCCCCCCCCCCGCCCCCGCCCCCGCACAGGTGCCAGATTCTCCTCTTCCCAGCAAGGACGCCACGCCTCGTGTCTCCTCTCCCCTCCACAGCCTCTGGCACCTGGCCATCCGAACCACTTACCGGTGACCCACAGAAGATGCAGTGCTAAGAACAGGATGAACATATCTGCAGAGACGTCTAATTGGAGTGGGGGAGGTCTGAAGAGAAGCAGAGAAAAAGCGGCTTAACAGAAACATTTACGCTCAGAAACGCAGACACAGAAATCGGTGGAGTGAGACAGACGAAGAGTACCAGAGGCAGGGTTGGGGCCCCTAACCGGAGGGAGGGCGGTAGAGGCAGAGACAATGAGGCAGGACAGGCAGACGAGAGGCCGGGTGTCCCCTGGGGAGCAGGGCTGGTCCACGAGATTTCTCTCTTCCTCTTGTCCCCTTTCCAAGAAGTCCCGCGTGCTTTTATCTAAGGTGAAGGCAGCCCCCGCCCCTGTGACCAGAGAATGCTTTTATAGTCGAGTCCTCCGGTTAATGAGCACCCTCCCAGTGGTTCTGGATTCTAATCCAGGAACCAAGAAATGGGAGGGGGTGAGAATCCCAGAATCCCACAGGCAGGAAGTGAGAGGCGGGGTGGAAGGAAACAATGAGAGATGGGGAAGGGGGCAGGCCGTCCAAAGGACCTAGACGCTGGGGGTGAGACCAGAAGAGACGGAGCCTGGTGGCATTGTCCCTGGAGTCATAAATTGTTGTTGTTCAGTCCTGTCCGACTCTTCGTGACCCCACTTGGGGTTTTCTTGGCAAGGATACTGGAGGGGTTTTCCATTTCCTTCTCCAGCTCATGTTACAGATGAGGAAACTGAGGCAAACAGGGTAAAGTGACCTGTCCAAGGTCACGAAGCTACCTGGATACCTACACGCAACTACGCTTGGCCACCTAGCTCCCCGGGAGACATGAGAGCTGTGTTCATATTCCCCCAGCTCTCCTTGAGACTCAGCTCCAGACCCACCTTGTGCTGGAGGTTGTTACTACTGTTTCTTATTCTCCCCTCCCCCCGCCCCCACCCTGCAGTGCTTTACCACTTCCATTTTCTCGGCCCAACTCGAGTGCGTATTTATTTACATGCAACTTCCCAAATTAGACTGTGAGCTCCCTGAGGGCAAGAATTGGGTTTTGCCCTTCTTCCCACCCCCAGCACTTAGCACAAGCACTTAATAAATGCTTGTTTACTGATGTGATCTGTGTGACATTGGGTAAATCACCGTAGAAAAAATTAATACCGATATGGGGCTATGGCATTGAAACTCAGGTTTTCAAAAAAAGCTACATTTAATGTTATTCTATACCCAGGCAGCGATATGTCCAAACTGGCACAATCTCCTCCCCCCAGCCCCATGCCCTCCAACTAGACTCTGGGCCCCAAGACAATTACAATAAGGAAAGAAGGACGAAAAGGACAAAAATTAAAAATGATTGAAATATTGTCTGGGGTTAGCATTTGAGAATATTCACCACTCAGTTCCTTCCTGGACCACTCCCCTTAAAGGTCATAAAGAATTCCTTCTAGATGTCAGTATCCACCTTGAATGCAAAAGCAAGCTACTTACCCTTAGGTGGGTCCCAGCTTCAAACTAGCCAGAAGAGATTTTATCTAGATAAAAGCTTTTTGTTAAATTTTTACTGCCCTTAACTATAGTTTCCCTAAGAAAAACCTTTTTGTTCTTTCCCTACAGTCTGGAAAAGGCTTTAGGGGAATTTTTTTTAAATTAAGTTTTACTAAAAAAGAGGTTTTAAATATGCTTCCTCATCACTTAACCTCCTTGGGCCTCAGTTTCCTCATCTGTAAAATGAAGGGGGTTGGAGTAGACAGCCTCTAAAGTCACTAAAGATCTCGGCAGTTAGGTAAGAGGCATAGCAAATGCAGAGTCCTGGAGGGAGACTCCTGGAGGTTCAAATCCTGCTTTAGTCAGTAGACATGTTGTCCATGGGAAGTCACAACCTTCAGCCTCAGTTTCCTCATTTGTAAAATGGGGGGAATATTAGCTAGGTTGTTGTGAGGCCCTGAGGAGATAACCTATGTGAAATGCTTTGCAAACTTTAAAATGTTTTATCAATGTTAGCTATTGTCCTATGAGGTTAAAAATTGGGCAGAGAACTAACTAGAGATGACAGAGAGAAGGAGCTCTGATGGGGCTAGGGTATACATAAGGGAGGAAGAACTGAAATGAAGCTCTGGAGCATGTGGTCAATGTGTGAGCACCTGGGTCAGTAGGTCAGTCAGTCAACAAGCATTTTTTTGGGGGGGGGTGAAGGCAATTGGGGTTAAGTGACTTGCTCAGAGTCACACAGCTAGTGAGTGTTATGTGTCTGAGGACAGATCTGAACTCAGGTCCTCCTGACTCCAGGGCCGTTGCTCTATCCACTGCACCATCTAGCTACACCACAAAAAGCATTTATTAAGAGCTTACTTGTGTGCCCGGCATCATGCTAAACACCAGCAATATAAGCAACATCAAAATCATGGTCCCTACTCTGGAGGAGCTCTCAGTCTTAAGGAGAGGAGACAGTATCTAAACCATATGCATGTATATGCAGGAAATGGATGATAGACAAGTAGAAAGATGCTAAACAGATGATAGAGATGAAGGATGGGTAGATAGATGTTAGAGAGTAGATAAGGGATGGATGGATGGATGGATGGATGGATGGGTGGATGGGTGGATGGGTGGATGGGTGGATGGGTAGATGGGTGGATGGGTGGATGGGTGGATGGATGGATGGAAGGATGGATGGATGGATGGATGGATGGATGGATGGATGGATGGATGGGTGGATGGATGGATGGATGGATGGATGGATGGGTGGATGGGTGGATGGATGGGTGGATGGATGGGTGGGTGGATGGGTGGATGGAAGGATGGATGGATGGATGGATGGGTGGATGGGTGGATGGGTGGATGGAAGGATGGATGGATGGCAGGATGGTGGATGGAAGGATAGATAGGGCAAATTAAAGATAATCTCAGAGGGAAGGCACTGTACATTTTGGTAGAATGTAAACTACCTTGATTGTAGCAGGCATTTGATAATTGTTGTTCATTGTGACTGACTCTTCATGACCCCATTTGGGGTTTTCTTGGCAAAGATACTGGAGTGATTTGCTATTTCTTTCTCCAGTTCATTTTACAGATGAGGAAACTGAGGCAAACAGGATGAAGTGACTTACCCAGGGTTACAAAGCTAGTGTCTGCGGTCACATTTGAATTCAGGCCCAGCACTCTTTCCCCTGCACCACCTAGCTACCCCTTGATAATTGTTTACTGAATGCTAAACGAGAGGGAGGTAAAGAAACAGGAGCTTAAGGAACATGGTCATGTCAAGAAGCATTTATTTGGTGCTATGAGACAGGCATGGGGCCAAGTGCTGGGGATCCAAATACAATCAGAAAGATAGTCCCTGCCTTCAAGCAGCTTACATTCTAATGGGAAACTAAAGAAGGAGCTGAAAACTAGGTGGAGATAGGCTGGACAAGACCAGGGCAGGGCCCGGACCCAGAGAAGGGGAATGAGAAGAGGGATTAGGGAGGGAGGGCTGAGAGTGACCCATAAAAGGGAAAGTTTGGCGGGCCCAGCCCCCAGACAGAGACAAGAGAGAGAGAAATTGGTGAGTAGCTGGGGGTGCTAGGGAGCAGAATCTGAGAGAACCCAAGCCAGAGGGACACAAAAACCTGCCAGAGACTTAGTGATGGGGTGAAAGTGATGAAGAACCAGAGATGGGGCTGCCTAATAGAGTGGGAAAGTCCCCGAGGCCTCCCAGCCCACATATGCTTCTCTTTGTCCTCGTGACTACAGGCAAATCTCTTAACTACGTGGGCCTGTTTCTTTGTTGGCAAAATAAAGGAATTGTCTCCTCCCAACCTAAATCTATTGATCTAGGGAGAGCTAGGAGAGACCGAGCCAAAAATAGAAACACAGAGAGAGGCAGAGAGGGGTCAGAGGAGGCTGGAGAGAGGACAGATAGTGCTGGAGAAGGAAAAGGGAGAGAAAGTGGCCAGAAAAGACAAAGAGAAAGTGTAACAAGCAGCCAGACAAGGAGACTGATTGGGAGCCGGGGAGACCTGTCTCACCCCATCTCAACTGGAAGGTGCCTAGCTCCCTCCAGCTAGGTAAGCTGGGGTTGAGGGGTGGGGGTGGGGCTACCTGCCTCCCCTTCAGGTCACAGCAAAGGATTCACTTAATTGTGATGGTGAGGTGGGGATGCAGAGGGGAATGTAAACACAAAGAAGTGAGAAAGATAAGTAGGGTAACATGAATACACAAAACGCCAATGGAAAGTTTAAAAAAAAAGTGTGGAAATAGCATTTTATTAATACTACCCAATTTCTAGAGCACTATAAAGCACTCTAGTCACAAATGCCCCGTGAGGCAGGGAATGCAAGTATTATACCCATTTTGTAGGTGGGGAAAACTGAGGTGCAAAGATTTGATGAATGTTGCCCAGCCTATAAACATGGGTGCCAGAACCCAAGTCCTCTGACTCACACAGCCCAGGCTTCTTTCCACTAGGAAGAAAAAGAAGGTGGGGGGGGTGGGGGTGGACAGCAGAGACACACTAAAACTGGGCAGGGAAGAGTGGGGTGTTGGGGACCAGGATTTGGAGATGGGCAGAGAATTCCTGGCTCAGACATCAACCCCTCCCAGCCTCTTCAACACCATAATTATTGTAATTCACCTTTCACTGGGGCCAACCCCCAGCCCCTCAATGATGCTCTGACTCAGGGAGGAGGTATCCACTCTCACTGAGCAGGCAGCTTGGGAGAGAACCCTGGAAGGTCCCGAGCCCTGGCTCTTTCTCCCTCTGTCTCCCACGTCTCTTCTGATTTGCTTTCTGCCCTTGTCTTCCTACCACCTATGACCTTAGAAGGTGATGTGAGACAGTTCTCGAGTCCAATTCCTTCATTTTACCATCAAGGATTACATAAAATCACTTAAATCCAATTCACTTGCAAGTCCTGGCATCACCCCCCTGATGTCACGGTCCTCTCCAACCATCTCTGTGAGTAGAAACAGGAACTGTCCCACTGGGGACCAAACGAACTGGTCACTTGGGTAACACAGCCCCTTATCCTCTGTCTCTGTGTCTCTCTCTCTTTCCCTCAGTCCACACAGGGTGTCACACCCTTACCTGCTGGTGCTCTGCCCAAAAGGAATGCAAATTTTAATCTCTGAAACTTTTTTCCTTTCTCGTAAAAACCAGCCTAGACCCTAAATCACTCAGGCGTTCTTGGATTGGCCAGCAATAGGTCCCAGGCCAAGTCCTACCTGATTGGCTCAGAATGAACGTCAATAACAATTGCTTTTGTTCTGGCCAGAAACTCCAAGGGTCTTTCCCTCCCAGATCATTTTTTGTTTTTGTTTTTTGAGGCCACTCTGCCTCAATCCTTACTAAGCTTTAATCACTGAATGGGCATTGCCTCAAACTGAGACCTGTTAAAGATTTTACCTTGAAAAGGCCATGGTCTCCACTGAATCCTGGGCCCTCTCCAGTCATCCTGATCTATATCTCACCACTGGCCCCAGATGACTCCGGAGGAGAAAGTGAGGCTGGTGACTTTGCACAGTCCTGCCTCACTTAAATCCAATTCACTTGCAAGTCCTGGCATCACCTTCCTGATATCATGGTCCTCTTCGAGAATCAAGGACAAACAGCACCGCCACCAGAGAGAAAACAGGCCCAGGAAGCTTCGATTGGCCTAAGTCCACAAGGGAGCCAGTAACTGGACTCTCTGTGATGACTCACTTCCTCTTTCTTTTGAGATAGAGTGAGATCGTGGGCCCATTTCTCTCTCTCTCCCTCTCTCTCTTTGGGACTTGTGAGATACCCTGTGAAGTCTGGGCTACCTTGATCCCAGGAGAGGGGGGAAAGGGGAGATGGTGAAAGAGCTTTGTTCTTGGACCCAGGGATTAAGGCATTCCCCACCCAACACATCTTTGTGACAGACTCTCCCATGACCCCATTTGGGGTTTTCTTGGCAGACATACTGGAGTAGTTTGCCATTCCTTTCTTCAGATCATTTTACAGATGAGGAAACTGAAGCAAACAGAACTAAGTGACTTGCCCGAGGGTCACCCAGCTAGGAAGTGTTTGAGGCTGGATTTGAACTGAAGGTGAGTCTTCCTTACTCTAGGCTGAGGACTCTATCCACTGCACCACCCAGCTGCTCCTGACACACATCTTACACCTTAGTATTTCTCAGCTACCTAAGATCTGTATTTTCAGTTTACCTCTGATAATGACTCTGGGCAAGTCCCTGCTTCTCTCTGTCACTAGGTGGACAAAGTTCTTTAACTGTAGTCCACAGACCATCAAGCCAGATTCTTGGGAGTCCATGAACTTGGATGGGGAAAAAAAAAATCCTTTTTATCTCAGATATTGGGGTTTCTTTGTAATCCGATGTATTTCATACACTTAAAACCATTCTGAGTGGAGGTTTAAAGGCTTCACCAGCTTGACTGCCAAACGGGTCCATGAGACAAACGAGATACAGAACCCTGAAGTAACAACTGAGACGGTCTTCAGATTCATCTTCCAGCTTTGAAACTGGGAACTGCCCTCCCTCCTTCCCGGGGGCCTCCTCCTCTGGGTCAGGAGCAGCAGCTGACGAGATCAGACACCAGCTGGAATTGCGGGGGCCGTTTGTGGTGTGTTTGGGCCACCTGCTGGCCACGACTGAGTCTTACACCCTCACTGCCCGGGAAACTCAAAATGCAGGCTAACTTATTTTGAGGCAGAAGAATCGATGGACTCCATCTACTTCAGGTCCCTGACTGTACAGATGAGGGCACTAATATCCGAAAGAGGGGAAAGTGACTGGCCCAGGGTCATACGGGAAGTAGGACAAGATGGAACGAAATCTCCTTCTTCCCATTCCAAAGCATCAGTCTCCTGGATGTAATGGTGTGCTCTGCTGAGGGTCAGATGGAGGGACAATCGTGGGGCCACAACTCAGACCCAAAGGACGGACCCCGGACAATTCACTGCTGAGCTCCGGCCTGCTGAGAGTCGGGGGAACTGAGGCAGAGCCTGTGAACTGAGGCAGCCCTATTTGGGAGGAGTCTTGAAGGACTGGTGTAAGAACACTTAAGTGTAAATTCTAGCTCTGCCCTTCACTCCTACCTGTGGGATCTTTGAATGGGTCTCACCCTTCTCAGGACCCCTGTCTCCTCTTGTCTGTAAACAGAGGAGGTCCAGCCAGATGGCCTCTAAGGTCCCTTCCTAAATCTTTGACCTCTGTGGGCTGAGGGATGAGGGAGTTGTCTGAGGGGGGTTGGGGGTGGGGAGACGTGTACCTCTGGGAGACCCGGAGAGAGAAGATGCTGTGGGCAGGCTGGTCAAAGGAGAGCTCCCTGGAGGAAAGGTGGGCTTGGCCCTAGAGAAGCAGCTCAGAAAAGGGAAGGACCCTTGAAGGTTGGGGTGGTCTGAACAAGCCTGGGGAGAAGAAGGTGCTGAGCTGGCCCTGAGATGTTAAGTCTGAGGCTGAGAATGAACAAGGTTTTCCAAGAAATCAGGAGAAAAGTCCGACAAGTTTTTGGCCTCCTTCCTGTGGTTACGGTGGGGATCGGTGTTCCCCACTCCAACCCTGTCCCCATGGGATAGCTCCCTGCCTTTCCCATGTCTCTTTCTATCCTGGTGTCTATCCCTGTCCCCCTAAGTCTGGCTCCCAAATCCTCAGTGACTGAGCCACTCCCCACCCCCTCCCCAAAGTCCTCCCTTCACTGTTAAGAGTCCCATGGGTCCAGCCTTCTTCTCAGGACCAGGCATCTGCCTACCTAGGACCCTTCAGCTTCTCCCCACCAGTCCTATCCAGAAGGTCAATCAGGAGACAAATGATCTTCAAGCCCAAACCTATTCAGATGCTTCTCAATGGATGCTTGGAAGGTTTATTTCAAGACCTCATGTCAGAATACCTTCCCCAGGAAATCTAGAATCTCACAAAGAGCTCTAAACCCCATGGAAAGCTATGGGAGACCAAGAAACCCATTTAAGACACAATCTTCCAAAGCATCCACGCTGCCTTGAGGAACCCAGAGGCCAGCTGAGGGGTCTAGAGAAGGCCTAAATCCTACTGAAGAGCCCAGAATTCTGAGAGGGACCTAGACTCTCAATGCAGAGAAGTGAAACTCATGAGGGACACCAGAACCCATCGGCACTCAAGAAATCTTAAGCCACACGAGGAGCCTAGAAGCCAATACAGTCCCAGGATTTCTCTGGTGTAAGGCTCTAGAAGGCCTGAATGGCCCCAGCCCGGATGGGGCGTCCCCTGTCCTTGGAAGCACAGCTCTGTTCCTCGCCCTCTTCCCCCAACCCTTTGCGGCCCTTGCCAATGGCCAGACGGGGTCGTCCCCGGTTGAGACCATCAAGTAAGGCACAGGCTTGGCACAAGGAGCGGCTGGCCAGGGCCCCGCAGCGGGTGCAGGCACCAGGGGGTGGGGGCCGTGCAGCAGGGGCTAGGGCCAGGCGCTCAGCTGAGTGCACCAGGTCCAGGACCACCGAAGGCCGAGCAGCCTCGAGGGCCTTGAGCAAATCCCGCACGTGGCCTCGGAAGGCCTCAGGCGCATAGACACACTCTTCCGAGAAGTAGTCCAGTTCCTGGAAATGGGCATATAGGACGATCTCCTTCTGGGATGCAAATTGGAGGGGACGGCACCGGGGCAGGGCACCCCCCTCACCAGGGGAACCCAGAGTCCCTCCTCGGGCCAGCCTGCCCGAGTCCCCTCGGAGGAAGTTCATGAGCACTGTTTCCGCCATGTCATCTGCATTGTGTCCTGAGGAAAGTCAGAGACGGGAATAACGGGTCAGGACCAGCAGCACCCACTGAGTTTGGGGATGGGCAGAGACACAGAGAAGAGACAAGGAGCACAGAGGGAGGCCAGACAGGGAGGGATGAGGTGGAAGGGGCCAAGAGACACCCAGAGA